ATGCCTTCTTCGCAGATTTCGCACCGCTAGCTCTCGTTAGCTACGGTTCCGCTCTTCTTTGAGCCGGTCGCGGATTTCTTCTTCTTTTCGCCAACCTTTGCGGCTGACGATGATGAAGTTTTCGACGCTCCGCCAGCCGATGACGAAGCTAGCTTGAACGATCCGGAAGCTCCTTTGCCTTTCGTCTGTACTAAAGCTCCAGACGCGACGGATATTTAAGTACCTCTTGATGAAAGGCGCAACTTTCTCAGCGTCTACTTTGTAATTAGCGGCTATGTATTTCTTGATAGCTTGCAGAGACGACCCGCCACGCTCTTTTAATCCTTTAATTGCGTTGATGACCATTTCGCTAGTAAGGAGGATGAGACGGCTTCGCCCTCGGATTCTTCGGTTTTTTCTCCTTTTTCGCAGACGACTGCGACGTCGGCGACGCAGAATTCGCGGTAGCCGTAGCCGACGCGGCGTAATTCTGGTTTTCCGTATCTGCCATGTTTACGAGTCGTGAAGAGGAGACAGATGATTGTATACGCGCGATCTTTTGCAATCACTGATCGACGCTCTCGCTAAGAGAACGAATGTCCGAATGAATGTGAGAGGTAAATTCAGCGTCGTGACCCAAGTCATTTCGGTCGGACCGAACTTGAACGCTCCGACTTTGCAGCGAAACCGATTTCGACGGCTTCAAATTCTGCCAAGCCTGCGGTCGTATCTGTTTGGTTTTTTTGAGTCGCTGATATATTGCATACGAGCAACAGCTAAACCTGAACGAATATAAATCTGCAATAATTGAAATACACATTTAACTTCGCGACGTGATCACGTACGCTACGTACACGATAAAATATAAGGTGAAACGTGCAAGGTATCCGCTTTGGACCTAATCGTCCGGCTTTTTGAGTCTAATTTATATTATAAGCGATACGTTATATAATTAGATATTCATGAAATTAACAATCTACGACTATTCGTAATACAATTATACTGTCAGGTATACGGCTAATGGATAAGGTATTTTAGATAATCGCAATTATACGGAGGTATGTCTGGCGTACATCCGAACGTGCACAGTCGCGAAATAATCGCGATAATTTTAACATTACTCCTGTAATATGACAAAATAGATAATAAGATGAGACATCAATCTATTATCGTATAAATAAGCCAGAGTAGAAAAATATTATATATATATACGAGCGATCGAGTTATAAATTCATCTCTTACTACATATTAAGTATTAGACGTACGCATTACTGACTTTTGATCTACGTGAAAGTACCTAATGTTACGTATTACAAAGCTAACAGCCTGCCTAAACGCCTAAGCAATATATACGGCAAAATATCTATATTATGTCGAATTATCTCATTATAATCACATGCTACTTATAAGTTATTTTACTTCCAGACACATACATACATTCGTACGTTATTAGAATAATATCAATGTAACGGTTTACTACAAAGCACCACAATCCTTCGATATAGATAACGGGTAATAACTAGCGACTATCGTATAACCATTTAGCGCTATTTTGCATACACGATAATAGTGTCGAAATTGCACGCGTACAAACAACAATCTGATATACTTAACATAATACAACGATCCCCTTTTTCTGACATACTATATGATGGTTTCTGAAAAGAACCGTTTTTTTTTTTATAACCTATTATCGCACGCCGTACTCTCTCTCTCTCTCTCTCTCTCTCTCTCTCTTGTCGGCAAATAGTAAATCCGTCAATTCCATAGGCACGTCGCCCCTAATACGTCTTGCCAGCTGTATATCTTTCGGCATGATCGTTACTACTCGCTTAGCGTGGATCGCGCACAAGTTCGTATCCTCGAATAGTCCGACCAGGTACGCTTCGCTAGCTTCTTGGAGTGCCATTACAGCAGAACTTTGGAATCGCAAATCGGTCTGAAATCTTGCGCTATTTCACGGACCGAGCCGTGGAAAGGCAATTTTCTGATCAACAATTCGGTACTTTCGATAACGACGAATTTCTCTGAGAGCACAGTTCCCGGACGATAACGGTGAGGTTTCTTAACTCCGCCAGTAGCAGGAGCACTTTTACGGGCAGCCTTCGTGGCTAATTGCTTCCGGGAGCTTTACCTCCGGTGGATTACGAGCCGTCTGCTTGGTACGCGCCATTACGTTAAATTTCAGATAACTGAATATAAATTATATATATAGCGCGACGTGAATATTGCAACGGACAATATTATAGTGAGCGGAGGTAACACACACAACCCTCCTACCCTGTGCGGTCCCTCCACCACCCCTGTTCCAGCAACCTCAAACCCGAGGAGTGGGGGGAAGAGCAATCTGCTCCTCCCCCCACTCCCGCCCAAAGGCCTGGAGTGGCGCTGCGTGGTTCAGGCCGCTTGCGCATTCCCCGAGTGTGTGCTGCCGAACGAGCTATCCCCCCTTCCCCAATTTTGCCCCTTTTTCCCGAAATTTGACTCGATCGCGCACGCGTCGCGGAAGCGCGTGGTGGACGGTTCTTGTCTTCTTCCAACTGTCGGTTCTCGACTTTATGGACGGCCTCTTTTCTTGGGGGTCCTGCGCTGGGGGCTTTTGACCTAAGCCCCTCCTAAGGTTGGTGAGCCTTCGCTCTTTCCTCGTCGACTGGAGTCAGTCAGTCGTCGTCAGTCAGTCATTTTTGTAAGTCATTCGTCTCCTGAGGTTAGCCCCGAGTCCGTGCTTGACTCTGGCCACCTCAATCGACAGGCTTCTTTTTGTCCACCCGTTGTACACGGGCTGTTCTTTCCCTCTTGGGTGTACAACTATTGTCGGTCTTCTCCCCTTTTCTTTGGCCTCATCAGCTGGCTAGGGCCAAATATCTTCTTGTTGCAGCTGGCTTTTCGGTCTTTTGTGACGCCTTATTGTTCTTGGGTCGTAATCCAAGGCGTCTCTAATCAGCACGTTTCGATGTCTTTCGTTCTTTTCAAAGAACTTTCGGGCCCTCTTTTCATCTGGATTACGACCGGTACCTGTCGTAGTTCGTCATATAGCACTCTGTTAGGTACATACCACGGTGCGTCCACCGCTTCACGGAGTGCCATGTTTTTTGTTGGAGCTTGGAGCCTCTTCTTCATCGTTTTGGAAACGTAGCCCAAGCTACTGCTGCGTAAGTCATGATTTGTAGCAGCACCATCTGAATCATGATGGTCTATATTCTTTAGTGACACTTTGCTTCTTCTGCCCGTTAAGGGTCTTAGTTTGGAGCGTGCCATCTTCACTTTCTGCACCCGTCTTCGACATGGTTCTTCCAAGTGAGTTTCTGGTCCATCTTGACTCCAAGGTATTGCTGGAGTCTTCCAGTCGACCTCAACCTCTTCATCGCTTCTCCAGCCTCTCTCCATGTGGTGGTCGTCATCTTTATGCGGAGGTAACACCGCGAACAGTATATATATGGGCTCGAAATACGAAACAGTCTGATTGGCCAATTGATAGACCAATAGGAGGGACGACAACGCTAACAAAACCGGGCGTCACGAGAGACGTACCGTCAGTTGGCAACAGCCCGTTCGCTTTAACAGTTCGACGTGCGAGAGAATCTTGAAAAATGACTGGACGCGGTAAAGGTGGTAAAGGATTGGGAAAAGGAGGAGCGAAAAGGCATCGTAAAGTTTTGAGGGATAACATCCAGGGAATTACGAAACCGGCCATAAGAAGATTGGCGCGACGTGGAGGAGTAAAACGTATATCCGGATTGATTTACGAAGAAACTCGAGGAGTGCTCAAAGTCTTTTTAGAGAACGTAATCAGGGATGCAGTCACTTACACCGAGCACGCTAAAGGAAAGACAGTCACTGCAATGGACGTCGTATATGCAATTAAAGAGACAAGGACGCACTTTGTACGGATTCGGTGGTTAAAACACTCCGCAGCAATGTACCACGGTACAGGTTGAACGCAACTACAATACAAAGAAAAAAAAACGGTTCTTTTCAGAACCACCATATACTCTCGTGAGAAAGAATGGATCTGCCGATTGAACCGCCACATTAATTTTCTATTTTTTTTTATACAAAATAAAAGACACACTCACATAAATGAGTTTATCGGAATATGAGAAATTGATCGACTTATACGTTTTGGCTCTTTTGAATTACAATAATCGACGATTTCGGTCCCGATATGTCCATTATCGAGATACCCGGCGAATATTAGACGTGAATGCGACGATGAGATGCCTCGATTAAATAATTTATTATTGCCAACTTCTCGCGCCACAAACCGATCCGATATCACCCCTGAGAAAAATTTTTTCCATATACAAAATGATAATCCCTTCATTTCTTATTAATTACTTGTTGGCCCTGAAGAAGGGCCGATTGTATGTTCAGAAGATTTTTTTTTTTAGGCTTTCTTCTCCGTCTTTTTCGGCAAAAGAACAGCTTGGATATTAGGGAGAACTCCTCCTTGGGCAATTGTGACGCCTGAAAGCAATTTGTTCAATTCTTCGTCGTTTCTGATGGCCAATTGCAGATGACGTGGAATAATACGGGTCTTTTTATTGTCGCGAGCAGCGTTGCCCTGCCAATTCCAAAACTCAGCGGCCAAGTATTCCATAACGCCGCTAGATATACCGGGCGCTCCGGCAACCGACGCGTTCAGCATAATTCCCTTTTCGCAATAACCTGTGGATACGACCGACGGGAAATTGTAGGCCGGCCCTGCTGGATCGGGACTTTGCCTTTCCCTTAACTTATAACACTTACCACCGCCTTTTCCGCGTCCTGACATATTCAATTGTTAATCTGCTAAACGAACGACGTCGACTATGAACTTGCAAAATGCACAACATGATCTCCGCGAACGTTGTATTTATATGAACTAACCGACCAATCGACGCGAACGTTTGCCGGCAAACGCCTGGGGGGCGGAGTCTACGTCGTAACGTTCCACCTGTCTTAAATACGGCCAGAGAATTGCAGTCGTTCCGTTAGTCGAGCGTTGGTGTCGATTATACTCAGCATCATCTCACAATAAATATGCCACCCAAAACTAGCGGTAAGGCTGCCAAAAAAGCGGGCAAGGCGCAGAAGAATATCTCAAAATCTGACAAGAAAAAGAAGCGCAGGAGGAAGGAAAGTTACGCCAATTTACATCTACAAAGTACTGAAGCAGGTACATCCGATACGGGTATATCCAGCAAAGCGATGAGCATCATGAACAGCTTCGTCAACGATATTTTCGAACGTATCGCTGCGGAAGCTTCCGATTGGCACATTACAACAAACGTGCCACGATAACTAGCAGAGAAATTCAGACAGCCGTACGACTATTGCTACCGGAGAATTGGCCAAGCACGCAGTCAGCGAAGGTACCAAAGCCGTCACCAAGTACACCAGTTCAAAATAATATAGACGTTGTATTCGCTTCGACGGTTATACGGTTCGAAAAATAAGAACAAAAAAAAAACGGTTCTTTTCAGAACCACTATGTTATGATAAAATGCAAAATGATAATTAGCTGTGGTCGTTATTTTAATCTTTTCATCTATCTCTCTCTCTCTCTCTCTCTCTCTCTCTCTCTCTCTCTCTCTCTCTATATATATATATATATATATATATATATATATATATATGTATAGAAGAAGTCCGTAATATCTGGAAGATGTCACCTGTATCACTGCACTGGGAAACAGTACCGTGATCGTAGGTGATCTAAACGCGAAGTCCACCATTTGGGGCTCAAGAAACAGAAACAGTCACGGCGCTGTTCTGGAAAGACTAATGGATGAACCTGGATATACCATGATAGGTCCGGACGAACCTACAATATACCCCAGCAACGGAGGTAGACCAGACGTCATAGATATGGCGATTCTGAAGGAAATCGACATGCGCACCACCATCGGCGCCATGCAAGAGGGAAGCTCAGACCACAACCCCATCTTTCTCTGTACGGGAGATGGGATAACACCTGTGGAACAAAGAACAGTGAAGAGAGTGAATTGGCAGCGGTTTAGAACCAGACTGCACTATTCACAAGGACCACTACTACAGATCGAAAGCCCCGAAAGCATAGAAGAAGCGGTCACGGACCTAGAAAGGAAGATTAAGGCTGCGTTAGAAGCCGCAACCACCGTGGAAGACATAACGCAACCAAACAGGTTCAGGGACCTACCTGACGAGGTAAATCGCAAGATCACCGAAGAAACAGAGCCCGAAGAGTAGCCCAGGAGACCCAGAAGCCCCACTGACATCATGGTGGCAAAACAGGACTTATGAGACAGGCACGACGACGCCTTGAAGCAGCACCATCAGAGCACCTGGGATAAGAACTCGACGAACTATCTCCAGCTGACCCAGGAATGTGGAACTTGGCTAAAATCCTCAGAAATAGAAGACAGCCCATCCCCCAATACACAGCGAACAGGGGATGGTGTACACAACCGAAGAGAAGGCGGAAGCTTTTGCTGACAACCTTCAGAGACAGTGTACTCTCAATACTCACCCCGATGAAGACGAAGACTTCATCGACGAGGTGATGAGAAGATCGAGGAGAGCTGTCAGAGGAGGAAGAGCCATCGAAGACATGCCCTCTCCAGGCGAGGTAAGGGAAATCATCGAAAGACTCAAGGTGAAGAAGGCACCGGGTGTAGACGATATTGGGAACAGAGTCCTGAAGAGACTCCCGAGGAAAGCGATAATGGCAATTACCAACATCGTCAACGCCATACTGAGACACCGGTACTTTCCAGATCACTGGAAAGTAGCCGAGGTGATCAACATTCCTAAAACCTGGGAAAGACCCAAGGTTCCCCCAAAACTACAGACCCATAAGCCTGTTGACGGCACTGAGCAAGATTGCGGAAAGGGTAATCGAACGAAGACTGAAGAACGAAAACCGAAGAACTCCGAGTAGTTCCAGACGAACAGTTCGGATTCCGATGCGGGCATTCAGCAGAGCACCAGGTCCTAAGGCTGGTCGAGATGGCAACGAAATCGTTCCAGACTCGGCGGGCCGTGGGAGCTGTGTTCATGGATGCCGCAAAGGCGTTCGACACTGTTTGGCATGACGGACTGATCTACAAGATGGTAGACCACGGATACTCAAAGGGGATGATCCAACTGGTGAAGTCCTACTTGAAGCACCGAAATTTCCGAATTAGGATCGGTAAAACAACCTCGACGACGAGGACTGTGGAGGCAGGAGTACCGCAGGGAGCGGTTCTACCACCCCTGCTGTATCCAATCTACAGCTCAGACATCCCGAAGACTCCTCAAACGCAACTGTATGTGTATGCGGACGATACAGCATATGCGGCAGAAAGTACGAGACCCCGCATGGTTACGGAATATCTGCAACGAGCGACCACCAACCTAGAGGAATGGTGCATCAAGTGGAAGATCCGCCTCAACCCCGAGAAGACCGAAGCGGTACTGTTCCGAAGAAATCGAAGATTACCTCAGACCAAAATAAAGATGACGACCACCAGAATGGAGAGAGGCTGGAGAAGAGATGAAGAGGTTGAGGTCGACTGGAAAGACTCCAGCACATACCTTGGAGTCAAGATGGACCAGAAACTCACTTGGAAGAACCATGTCGAAGACCGGGTGCAGAAAGTGAAGATGGCACGCTCCAAACTAAGACCCTTAACGGGCAGAAGAAGCAAAGTGTCACTAAAGAATAAGACCATCATGATTCAGATGGTGCTGCTACAAATCATGACTTACGCAGCAGTAGCTTGGGGCTACGTTTCCAAAACGATGAAGAAGAGGCTCCAAGCTCAACAAAACATGGCACTCCGTGAAGCGGTGGACGCACCGTGGTATGTACCTAACAGAGTGCTATATGACGAACTACGACAGGTACCGGTCGTAATCCAGATGAGAGAGAGGGCCAGAAAGTTCTTTGAAAGAAATGTGCTGATTGAAGCCGCCTTGGATTACGACCCAAGAACAATAAGGCGTCATAAAAGACCGAAAAGCCAGCTGCAACAAGAAGATATTTGGCCCTAGCAGCTGATCAGGCCAAAGAAAAGGGGAGAAGACCGACAATAGTTGTACACCCAAGAGGGGAAAGAACAGCCCGTGTACAACGGGTGGACAAAAAGAAGCCTGTCGATTGAGGTGGCCAGAGTCAAGCACGGACTCGGGGCTAACCTCAGGAGACGAATGACTTACAAATATGACTGACTGACGACGACTGACTGACTCCAGTCGACGAGGAAAGAGCGAGGCTCACCAACCTTTAGGAGGGGCTTAGGTCGAAAGCCCCCAGCGCAGGACCCCCAAGAAAAGAGGCCGGCCATAAAGTCGAGAACCGACAGTTGGAAGAAACGTCCACCACGCGCTTCCGCGACGCGTGCGCGATCGAGTCAAATTTCGGGAAAAAAGGGGCAAATTGGGGAAGGGGGGATAGCTCGTTCGGCAGCACACACTCGGGGAATGCGCAAGCGGCCTGAACCACGCAGCGCCACTCCAGGCCTTTGGGCGGGAGTGGGGGGAGGAGCTGATTGCTCTTCCCCCCACTCCTCAAGGGTTTGAGGTTGCCTGGAACAGGGGTGGTGGAGGGACCGCACAGGGTAGGAGGGTGTGTGTGTGTGTGTGTGAAGACCGTAGCAGAAGAAGAAGAAGAAGACGAAGACCGTTTTGTAAAATAACAAAATTAAGTAACACAATTTTTTTTATACATTTATAGCCCATAAGTAACAGCAGACCGAATATATTGCCAACGGAAAATCCTTTTTATTTTGGTATTCTGAGTTTAATTGATGTTAACTGCCCAAAATTGATTACTTATCGTTTATTCCTTTCCCCGCGGATCGGTGTATGGTAACTTGTTCTAACAGTTAATAGTATTAACGGAGTGTCATTGTTTTTATTGTTCAACAGCGAAATCAGTCAACATAAGGGTATCCACGATTTCCGAAGGTTAATACAGGGTGTCCGCAAAGTTGGGCTTTTCCTTTTCAGAAACAACTACCCTTGAAATAACAAAGGTAATGCGTAGTGAAACGAGGGCCGACCATGTAAAAAAAATATATAAAGGAAAAAGTACTCACTCTCCAGTTGACCCCATTACGTGTGAACGTAGATTCGTCTGTCACCAATATGCACTTCAAAAAGTCCGGATTATTGTCATGTTGATGCAACAACCACTCACAAAACCGCACTCTTGCTGGAAAATCGTCAGGTTGGACGTTTGCCACACTCTAGTTTGTGATACTCGCACTTCTCTAGCCACGTCTCTAGTGCTTGTTGAGGGATTCTCGTCTACGCGATTCAGTAGTTCTTCCTCAACTAGCACCATTCGTGGTTGTCTAGACCTCCCACTGTGCCCACCTCGATATTCCTCCAAATGGCCCGTATCCCTGACTCTCTGGACCGGGTACACAAATCTGCGGGGCCTTGGATGATGTCGTCTAGGGAAAAGATCTGCATACACTCGCGACGATTCTGTATCATTTTGAAGACGTTCATTAATAAATTAACAACATATCAACGAGTTCATTATTGGTATATGAGTGTGCCATTATTATTATATTTATATACCTCTATACGCGTGACCCTTTACCGTCGGTTGAAGGTTGCATACTGACCTGACACTCGGACCCCCACCCCCGACCCAGTTCTGTCGTCGGGTTCAGCTAGTAGCCGGTACCTGTCTGGGCATCGCGGCGGGTGGCGGCTACAGGACGGTATTCAGATATTTTTGATGTTGCAGAGCCCTTTATCTCGGTTCCCTTAAGATATTGGTGTATATGGCACTAAGAAAAAATTGCTTATGTTTTCAAGATCTACACGTCGTGTAAAGGATAACCCCAACTTTGCGGACACCCTGTATAATAGAATTAGAACCGTTCGATGTATATATTCTTTTCAAATTACAGTTTTTCGATAACACAGCATAGCATGTCCATATATGTATATATATATATATATATATCATATATATATATATATATATATGATATATATATATAATATATATATATATATATATATATATATATATATATATGTATATATACACGTACATAAACATAGAATCACATGTTTCTGTACGTGTATATATACATATATATATATATATATATATATCATATATATATATATATATATGTATATATACACGTACATAAACATAGAATCACGGAAACGAAATGTAGTACATCGTTATTCGAATATTCGTACATTTTCGAAGTTCGCTCAAGTATATACTTTCGAGACTACAACTGGAATATTAGTCGAAATATTAAAGATCTACACACTTTCCAATATGACGTTGAATCACTGACCGACGTACAGCGATATCGGATTGTTCGCCTGCGATAATAGTAT